GGTTGACACTTTATGAATCTTGCATTGTGATTTGCAAACTTCCAGCTGGCTGGTGATTTTGATAACAACTCCTCCTCCTTGGTGCCAATTAACAGACATTAAATGTCCCTGGCACATGTTGTAATTCAGAAAATACATGGGCTGATTAGTTAACCCCTGCTGGACATGCCATTAGGGCCTGCAGGATCCAGGCCAACATTGCCCAGTGTTGCCCTCAGTCTACCTTCATTTAAAGCCACACAAGGTTTTTTGGCCTGGAGGCTGAGGCAGGAGGATTAGTGTGAGTTCAAGACTAGCCTGAACTGCACAGTGAAACTCTGTCTAAAAAAAAAAAAAAAAAAAAAGTTACAGGTTTTCTTCCTGAATAAAAATCAGTGTCACCTCATTCATTAATTCATTCATTTTTCACTCAACAACTATCCACTGGGCACTTCCTCTGTGCCGGGATGTTTGCCTGCAGTCTGGTGAACAACAACATTAAGCTTCTTGCCTCCGCAAGGGAAGTGAGTGGTGAACAACCACACAGAATTGCTGTGACAGTGGTAGGAATTGATGAGCCGGGACAGCAGCGGCAGGGGAGCACACATAGGGCGTGCCCTGGGGGGGTGCTTTCAAGGAAGCCACACCTGAGGGGGACCTAGGGACTAGAAGGAAGCAGACCGCAGCCCGGTGGGAAGAGCGGGAACAGCTCTCTGTGTCTGGGGATCTCCCGCGGTGGCTCTGTTCACAGGCCTCTGTTTATCAGGCGTTTTTATCACGTTATAAGACTTCGCTGAAGGAACAACTGGAGCCTAGATGAACTCTCTGTCTCCCTGGCCAGAGGCACCTTCATAAAAGGGTGCACTCGGGGAGCTGCTCCTGGCGTTAGCGGGAGCAGCAGCACAGGTTCTTTCTCTCCTCTCCACCCCATTCCCCGTCTCTGAAGCAAGCAGCCTGGCTCCTGGACTCCCTTTGCAGGACTGCAGGACCCTAGAACGCACTTTCCAAAGGGACAGACACAGCTCTTTAAAGCAATGAGGGGCTGCGGATTTAGCTCAGCGGCACAGCGCCTGCCTGGCAAGCGCAAGGTCGTGAGTTTGATTCCTGGTGCCAGAAAAAAAAAAAACCAAGAAAACCAAAAAAAAAAAAAAAGAAAAAGAAAAAAGCAATGACTGCAGTAAGTAAAAAGCATCCTGTCCTCTTCTTTAATTAAAAGAAAAAAGTCAAAATGGTCATTTGGAACTGTGCAGACAAGGCATGAAATGCCACTCCCTTGTTATCGGGAGGGTGCACTCCCTGAGTTTGCATGCCCACGCTTACATTTGGCAAACTCTTCTTCTTCTTCTTCTTCTTCTTGTCCTCCTGCCTCGCTTTCTCTCTCCCCCTCTCTCAGCAGTTAGGGGCCCAGGCTACAGAACTGAATCACCTGGACTACATCTCAAGAGTGACTTGCTGTGTGACTTTGGGCAAATTACTTCACCTCTCTGAGCCTCAGTTTCTCACCTACATAGTAGGAATCGTGATACAGGCTGACTCACAATATCCACATTAAGTGAACCCCAAGCTATTACTATCCTCATTTCATAGGTTAGGGTGTAAGATTTCAAAAACTCAACTTTAAGCAGCTGAGATGGGTTTCTGTGGCCAAAGAAGCTTCAGTAATGAGTGCTAACAGTGAGCGCTGTTTAAGGATCTTTGTCCACGCGTAGTGTTTTCCAGTCTTTGAGATCATCAAGAAGCATGGCCATAATAGCCTTTGAGAGGTCTCTTATTTATGATAACAACACGAGCCGACAATTATAGACCTCCTGCTAGGTGCCTGACCCTGCTCTGTGTGCTTTACTTACACTGATTCATTTTAACAACCTTGCCAGAACCGTACAAAGTAGATGCTATTTCTAGTCCCATGCTAGCAGGCAAGGAAGCTAAGCCTTGAGAGATTAATATCCACGGGGTCGCAAGGGCAGGAACTGATGGAGTTTAGAAATCAGCCCAGGCAATCCGACGCCAGGTCGTGGCTGCGGTTTGCAGCCTCATTCAAGGTGGGACACAAGTTGTCCTGCAGGCGTCAGGATTTTCTCCTTCAAATAGACTTGTCTTCTGAGAGCGATTTAGACAAAGAATTATTAGCTGCCTAATCCGCAGCCCGCTGGCCTGTAGACACAGCAGTAATAAGGGCTGATTCCCAGCACCGCACAGTGCCAGCTCTGGGAAAACTCACATCTCCCACTCCCGGGTTTTCAGGTGCCTATTAAAATGTCAGTCGATCTGAGAGTCACAGTTCTTTCTACATCACTTAGCGCAACCTGGAACAAGAGATGAATGCGGCGGCCGGCCTTCCCCGGACGGTTCCTTCCTTATTACTTCCCTCACTCGCTCGCGCGCAGCAATGCTACATCACATAAATGTAGTTAAGAGCGCCGACAAATCACCAGGATTCCCACAGGGACCGGATGCAGTAATCTCAAATAACCTTGCCTTCAGTCTCAGAGGGACATTTTTCTCCCAGCTGCCAACACCAGAACTGATGTGCAGATCGAAGCGGCCATTTCTGAGACAGGGACAGGTTGGCCTTCTCTCCAGGCAGATGCCCTAGGAATGAGGAAGAGAGGCAGGATGTGTGGAAGAGGGGCCTCCATCTCCTTCAAGGTGAAAATTCATGAATTAAAAAAAAAAAATGGGGGCTGGGGATTTAGCTCAGTGGCAAAAGCGCCTGCCTGGTATGCGCAAGGTCATGAGTTCGGTTCCCGGTACCGGAGAAAAAACAAAAAAAAAGAGAAAAAAAAAAAAAATGAGGGGCTGGGGATTTAGCTCAGCGGCAAAAGCGCCTGCCTGGCAAGCGCAAGGTCGTGAATTCGGCTCCCGGTACCGGAGAAAAACCAAAAAAATAAAAAAATTTTAAAAATTTTTTAAAAATGAGACCGCTGTTCACATTGTCATGCGCAGTGAAGATAGGATGTCTCCAAATCCTGTGTGACTTTTTGACCCTGTGAGCCACAGATTTACCTACCAGCAGTCGTAGACTTTGTATCCAAGCCTACATCTGCTACTGAATAGGAAGCAGCCAGGGCAGCCCCAGCCAGGGCAGCCCCAGCCAGCGCTACTTTGCTATTAGCTGCTCTGCGCCTCTGCCCCTGAGAGCTCAGAGAAGCCCAGTCCTGAGGTGCAGAGCTGCTGTCTGCTCCAAAGCTTGGGCTCCTCTAGTACATTCTGTCTCCAGAGCCTCAGATCACAGCTCTGCCCTTAGAGACAGAAGCTTTGGGTAAGACTGCCAGTACTGATGGGGTAAGACTCTCACACACTTTGCTTGCAAATCTGACCCAAAGAATGAAGCTGTAATTATTATTCATTGCCTCAAATTAAAAAAAAAAAAAAAAAAGCCTATTTCTTCAGCACAAGTAGCTGGATAGAAAAGAAATCAAGCTCCAGATGAAAGAAATCAGGCAGAAATGCAAAACTCTTTCTTCACATATATCCTTTCTTACTGGGTTTTCAGGGAACACACTTGTGAGCAAACTTTGAGGCTGGGCTATGAGAAGGCAAGTCTTAGTAAATTTTATCAGAAACCCAAAAGGTACCATAGAAAATAAGTACATAAATATGAGAAAAGAAATTTTATCAGACCCATTTTCCATCATTCTTCCAGCTGTCTTCTTTCCTCCTTCTGCATGGTCTTTGTGGACTTCATATGCACTCAGAAAGCCAAAAGCCAAGGACTGGCAACAAAGCCATGGAGGGCAGCTGATTCCTGCGGCCTCCCCTCAAACCCACTGCCCCCAACACGGGCCACAAGAGGTGTTCATTCGTCTTTCCTCTGAATGTCTTCAGTCTAACGAAGAGAAAAGGGACAACAGACTGGGCAGAGAGGGAGGCACACTGGTCACATATGCGGGGACCATCAGGATGCAGGTTGAGTTTGGTAGGGAAAATAAAATACTTGAGGCTGCAGGGAAATTCTGGGAGCTCATGCATTTTAATTTCCTATTTCTGAAATAATTTCAGACTTACATAAATGTTTGCTAAAAATGCACAAATATTCCCGTGTACCCTTCTGCTAGGTCTCCCAAATGTTAACATTTTACTATGCTCTTGTTGATTTTTTTTCTGAACCATTTGAGCGTAAGTTGGAGAACAAATGCCCATTTAGCTCTAAACATTTTGGGGTGCATTTCCTAAAAATAAAGATAGGTTCTTATAAAACCACACACAACTAGAAAAATCAATCAACATGAATACAGTGCTACCAAGTAGGCTACAGATCATATTCAGTTGTCCTACTATTTTTTCAATTTTCCTACTGTTTTCCTTCATAGAAAATGTTTTCGCAAAACTCTTGTCCAGGATCCCTTCCAGCTCCACACAGTGCATGTAACTGTCCTAGCTGTTTAGTTTCCTTTCATCTGGAACACTTGCTTAAAATTCATTGTTTTTCATGGTCTTGGTATTTCGAAGAATGTAGGCCACTTACTTTATACCATGCCTCTCAATTTGGATTTGTCTGCCATTTCATAGCTGGTATAGGAGACCCTGAGTCCATCCTGATATAAATAGGTGAGAAAGAAAGGAATCCTCTTCTTTACTGCAGTAGAATGCTAAATATTAAGTGCAGACAGATTGATAGGACTTAAAAATTACCATTTGGAAACCATGATGGTAATATTGGTTCAGAAAAGAATTATCAATAGGTGTTAAAACTAGTGGGTGAAAACTTGAAGAGCTTCAGAATATCTCCTCAAATGATACTTATTATTGCAAAGCAGATAATTGCAACTTTACTGTTGAAAAACCTGGTAAGTACCATCTTAGTTAAAAGACCAACCTTAATATACCAGCACTGGGAAATAGAGACCATGTCAGTGATATCCTGATGTGATAGACAAAGAAGGACACAGAGTCTCTTATTTAAAAAAAGAAGAAAAATAAAACCTCCTGCACAAAAGGCTTAAAAATTTTAAAGACTTACAGTTCTTCCCAGGATGCTTCTCCCACAATAAGAGTCTAAAACCTTTCTCGCTTGACAGAGCCTGCCTTGAAAATCACTCAGGAAGGGCTGGAAAGGACCAGGGTGCTGACAAGAACAATCCGCGTGGATGGAAACCGGTCACTAACAGTTTGTGGCCCATGTGACCTTCCTCAAACATCAGGAATGACACAGGAATACCAACCATTTGGCCTCTGAGACAGAGGTAACAGGAGAAAGACCCGCTGTCATCACCCCCAGGATTAACGGACGGAAGGGCCAGGAGGGGACAAGCGAGCAGGGCCTGTGCTGTGGCGGCTTATATCAGACTCCCACCCCTCCTCTTCCTCTCTGCTGTCAAAACCAAACTCGATCTTGCCAATTTGTCACAGCTCAGCACCAAACTAACAAATGAAAAGACCAACCTCAAATGCCTTCCAGCTCTGTGTCTGCCCTGTCTCACTAGCTCAGATTTGGAGCAAGGCAGAGGATGATGTGATAGTCTTCTCTCAGCGTTCCACCCGGAGACACAACGGTTCTTCACAACGTCCCCTGGCACCCCCACCTCATCCCTGACACCCCACCAAGCATCCTGCTTCCCTCTGCCACGTCCTCCTTCTTTCCCATTCCAGTTCCTCTCTGCCCCCACTTTCTGACCCAGGGGATACCTATTAAACTATAGTGATGAAGGAAAGAAGGACCTGCTGCATAAAAAAGTCCCAGACTAGAAAAATCCATGGTGTTATAAGACGGACTCCACAGACCACAATGCTTACAGGCAGGCCATTTCAAGTAGGAAGATATACAATCAGCTATAACTGTGTATCCTTTTTACACCATGAAAAACAAGCCACTGGAAGACATTCTACTACTGATTTTAAAAAATTATATATACATATATTTTTAAATACAATTTTTAAACCACCTGTGTTAACCTGAAAGAGGCATTGTGTAGAGAAGTAAAACTCACAGATACCCTAAAGCTTTTTGGACATATATTTTCATCTCCCCTATCATAAGACATCAATAAGAATTTCATATTTTTAAAGCATATGCTGCCCCAACCTCCCAAGATAATAACAGGAATGCAGTATCGCCGGGATATGTCGGTGGTTTTAAAGTTCAGGATCTTAGTTTTACACTGACGTATCCTGGTTTTTTATCCACCTTGTTTGTGAGCAGGAGCAAGCACCCGCAAAACGATAATCAGAGCAAGGACTGCATTTTGTACTTACAGAAAGTTTTTCCTGTGTGAAGCTGTCACATGCAGGACTTAACCTCCACCTACTTTTTAGAGGGATGAATAACTTCTGCTTATTGGCCACATCCTTTTCTCGGTTAACCACAAGGTGATAATAAGAAACAAGAAGCCCCCAAATTTTAGCTTATCTGCCAAAGTGGTGGGTGAGCAGGCAAGAGGTAAGACTGAACTACGCGAGAGGATTAGAAGATGACACCTTCTCCTCTCACATGTGATCAAAGATTGTGCTGCTAATTGTCAGTTGTTCTTTTGTCTGAATTACCATGACTAATGTTAGTGTCATTTCCTCTGGGAGGAACTCAGATTGGTTAGTCTTTAGCCTCAACAGCAATCAATATAGGAATGCTGCTTTCAAATTCTGGGATCTATTTGTTACTACCATAAGGGCTTAGAGCCCACCCACACACAGGTTTCAGTGATTTTACTTGCCAAGGTAAGGTCGTAGAGTTCCACAGTGGTATGTGGAAAAATTAAATGTAGGCAGGGTGCCCACATAAAACCTGGGGCAGGGGTAAGGGGACAACGTAATGTTTAGTTCCCACAAGCTGCTGACAGCCACCTTGACCACTCACAGCCTGTCTCCAAGGCCATCTTACCTGCGTCTCTATCTCCACACACTGAATTCTGCCTCTCACAATTTGAACTGGAAAGCACCACTCCCAGTTTTCATACGTGCTGTTTTTTTAAGTCTTTGGGAACTTTCTGTGACTCATAAAGGAGTTTCGTTGGGATTTAGCTCTTTCTTTGAACCTGTTTAGCCAGTACACCAAATATTTTCTAGAAAACAAAATAAAAAATGAATTCTTCCCAGCTAAGCCCAGAAGCTTAGGAAAAGCCTCCTCCTTTCTAAAGCTTTCATCTCTGTACTCTCAGCTCCAGTGCACAGCCCCAACTGGTCGTGCATCAGAGGGGTGTGGGTGGGGGTAGGGAAGCTGGCAAGGATGAATTTGAATGCTTACCATGAAGTCAGCCCAGAAATTTGTCCTAGAACAGTCTTCTAAGCAGGAAGTCAGAGTTTCATCTCCTCAAATTGTTGCTTCTTGATTACTATGTTTGGTCAAGGGGAAGTGGTGTTCTTTAGGTGAAAAATGAAGAAAATGATAGGGGAAAAAATTTCACTCCTCTGTAGAAATCTAAGCAGAAAGTTATATATTCTCTCATCTCTGCTTACTTTTCTTAAGGACAGTATTTTTAATAGACCAGAAGAGTCATAACTTAGTGTCTGTGAATGTCTATGAGAAGGGTATAATGTATTAATCATTACGGAATATTACATAAATAAACCTTACATACGTGAAATATATAAACATAAAAATTATTTCACAGGAAAGTGAACAGTTAAAGGTTTCCAAGCTTTAATACCTGTGTTCTAAAACATAGAGAGTTCCAAGGATGCTTATTTCCTTAGGATATTCCACTGCCAAGCCAAGAACTTCAGCAAGTTGTTTGTTGTTTGCTTCCTGGTTTGTAATGTACCCCAATCTGTATAGATTACATTAAAAGGTCTGTTGCATGTGTTGGTTTTGCTCACCCACATGGAGTTATCAGACATTTGTTCCACATTTTGCATCCTAAAAAACCAAAAGGGGTTTTCTAATAAGAAGAAAAATATACAGAATATAACTTCCCTGGTGGGTAACTCTGGGATCTGAACCACTCAACGCTCTCTGCATAACTGTGAGTGTGATGTTTGATATCAGAGTTATTGTCTCTTACCCAAATATCTAGTACTAGATAATGTCTCTCCTGAAGACCACATATTTTTGTCAAATCCTTTTTTCTTGGACTTGACATGTCCTAGAGAAAACCAGAAGAGCTGGCCCTGGGCCATCTTCCTTCAGATCCACTCTGCCATCTATTTTCAAAGAATTTTCCACATATGAATTCTCTGTCTGCTGTTCTGTGGTAGACTCAGTGCTCTCAGAGTGCAGTTTGGGAAACTCGCTTGGGTTTGTGGCTCCAACACAGTGCTGTTTGTCGTGTGCCACAGGGACGGATCAGAAGCAGCAAAGGGGAAAAGCGCTTCCTGGCTTGAAGCGTCTGTTCACAACCTTTACGTCTGCCACAAAGGGAACCATGCTGGGACTTGTGCACAAAGTGCCATCTGTTCTTCGCGCAGAGAAGGGTCAACCATGCAGATTACCCAAGCCTCCTTTGCCAAAAATGTGTATTGTTCCCCCAGCTAAGAACCTGTGAAACCCAAAATGTGTCTTAGCATGAAACTATAAAAACAGGTTTATTTTCATTTAACAGAGGTGTCTGCCAGACTTTGTTGTTGTTTCTGTTTAGCTAATTTGGAGAGGACAGCGCTCCATCATAGATTACATGTCAGCACTGAGCACTTAATTTTTCCCAGAGGGGTTTGGCTCTCTGTAGCGGCTCTGAATCTCCCAAAGTAGTTTTGGTGGAAAGGAGGGCCACAGCAAGCAGCACTTTCTCTCTGGATGAGTACACATCTACAGAGATGAGTCTGGCTGTACAACCACATGCTCCTAAAAAGCCTCTTGGCCAACTGCCTTCTGCTTAGTGCAGAGGTTAGAGCACAGGCCCAAATGCCTGCCTGCCTGTGTGGCCAGCTCTGTGGCTATAGGCAGGTTACTTAACATTTCTGTGACTCAGACCCGTTTTCTGGAAAATGGAGATGTAATAGCACCTTCCTGAAGGATGTTAAAGGTTAAAAGTCTTAAAACATGCAGAGTCCTTTGAACAGTGCCTGGCACATACAAGTGCTCAGAAAACTAGTGTCTTATCATCCCCACAATTTGCGCCATCTCATCAACCAGCTATGGTATTTCTTTACTATTCTTATTTTAACTAACTCAATTTTGATCTAAAATTTAATTTGAAAGAAAAATTTGTACCTCTTTTACAACTGTAAAAGGTAAACCAGTATAATATGCTACAAATATAACATGGCCATAAAATAGTAATAGCACATATTTACCGACCCTTACTACTTGCCAGGTGCTATGCTAAATGTCTTGATTTATTATAATCCTCACAACCCATAATGTCAGTACAATCTCCATCCTCCTTTATTAGTTGAGGAAACTGAATCAGAGGGCTAAGAAATTTCCGTATATTTGCACAGCTAGTACTACACATAAGTTTTCTGCTCCAGAACCTACATTTTTCAGCTCCGTTCTGTGCTGCTATCTCTATGAAAACCACAGTGCTATTCCACTTGCCCACTGGGCTGTATTAGCTCCCTAGGGCTGCTGTAATAAATCGCCACAAACTTGGTAGCTAGGAACAACGGAAACTGATTCTGTCACAGTGGAGGCTAGAAATCCAAAATCAAGATGATGGTAGGGCCGTGCTTCCTAAAAATCTCTGGGAGATGATGCTCCCTTAGTCCATCCAGCTCCCAGCAGCCCTAGGCATTCCCTGGTTTGTGGTAGTGCAGCTCCAGCCTCTTCCTGTCTTCACCTGGACATCTTCCCTCTGTATGTCCGTAATTCTGTCTCTTCTCTTCTAAAGACACCAGTCACACTGGATTAGCAACCCCGCTATTAACCTCATCTTAACTTGATTACATTCACAAGGCCCTATTTCCAAATGAGAACACAGCCACAAGTACCTTTTCGCGGGTTTGGGAGAAGCAGGAGACACAGTTCAACCTAAAACTGTGGCTACCTGAGGCTGTGAGCCTGGGGCAAACAGACTGCAGGTATTAGGGAGGTGTTCAAGGTTAGCACCAACCTTCGGCTTTCACGTTTATGCGACCAAGGAGTCAGGACAAGAAAAGGATAGACTTAGACCTTTCAGTGATACCAGGTGCTCAGTATGGGCGCAGGCTGCTCACACTGACACTTTGGGGTAAGTGGTTTGGCAATAGAAAGCCACAGAACAGTTCATCCAGCCTCCCAGGCATCCTTCATGAGGGGAAGGCAGTAGGAAGCTGATGAAAAACACACCTTTCCAAAACTCTGGGGTGAAATGGTCAGGAGAACAACACTCACCTCTAGAATGTGCCAGGCTGGAACAGCAAATTCAGACAGACACTAAAATCTTCCTTCATCAGGAGAATAATAAAGAAAGAGCAACAGTAGACTCTGTAATGGGGGATCGTTTATTTTCCTACTGTTGCAGTGAGACTTTATGAAGAAAAACAATCTTTCACTAAGAGGGGTTTGAGAGGAGGGCATGAGGGTGTGAGGAGGAGGTGTTATCATGCTGTCAAACCAAAGTGTCCTCAGTCGAAGGAACCGCGCAGATTTCATAGAGTTGGGAGGTTCTCATCTTGAGCTCCCGGGCCACCTGACAGACGGAAAACGGCCAACAGCAGTGCACCGCCAGCCAGTCCTCGCACAAGGTGCCCTAGGGCAAAAGCAGGGTCTCCGATCTGTCCGAACTGCAACAGGCTCATTTCCATTACATGAGGAACTTCACAAAGTGACCTGATAGCTCATCCCTCCCACTGCTCCCAAGGTCTGCCAACACCCTAAGTCATCATGCAGGACATGGGGCCACCATGTGCCAAGCAGCTCAGGAGTGGGCTAGCACCTACAATTCAGAGGCCTGCCTTCAAACTTTGGACTAGGACCTCCTTCTTGAAACCAATAATTTCGCCATTAATATCTTGGGTCTTTTCCTCTTAAGACCTGATAATTATTTCTTTGACATAGGTAGTAAGTGCAAAATTCACACAGTAAAAAGAGATAGGAAATAAAAAGTAAATCCTCCTCTACAGCTAGCCCTGGCCTTCCAGTTACCTGCCTGGGAGCAACTGTTCTTATACACTTCCAGATAAATTCTATGTCCATATAAGCATACATATCATATATGATATATAGTCTTTTGATGCAAATAGATGTATATTACTGTGCCCCTTTTTCTACTTAAAAAATATATCATAGAGATCATTCCCTTGAATGTATAAAGAGATGCCTTTTTTATTTTTTGTTTTTTGAGACAGGGTCTCACTATGTAGTTCAAGCTGGCCTTGAACTTGAGATATCTTCCTGCCTCAGGCTACTGAGTACTCGGATCATAGGCATGCGCCATCACACCTGGCAAGAGATGCCTTTTTAAAACTGTCCATATCTTAATATGCATGACCGGTCTCTCTCCAACTTTTCTTGTACTTCAGTTTCAGCTAAGCTGGAAATTAACTATCTGACTCCTTCAAAGAACCACCCCCCAAGGAAACCCGCAAAGTGGATTCTGTGTGTCACATAGGCTATATTTTAAGTTAGATCTCCCAAGTATATCCTCCAGATTTGGTAAACTTTGTATAATTTGGTATAATATGGTAAATATTATATAATTCCATCTGTCACCTTCTCTTGAAGTAATAAAAAACTGAGGATACTATGGTTTTATTTGTGTAGATAGAAGGTAATCTGTATCGCCTTAGGGGTTGAGACTAATCAGCTACCCCCTCCTATTACAGTTCATCAAAGCACACCTCAGGGTGTACTGTTTGGCCAATGACCTGGCCAAGCCCATTGATTAGCAATTTGCATTATAATTTTCCTCGTGGAAACACCCTGCACAATATAGAATTTTAGTTAACTCATGCTTCCTACTGGAGAATGGAATCAAAAATTTCCTTTCCCAAAGCTTACCATTAACTATGGTATCTTTAAGCACTCTCCTTTTCTCTCTATTTCTCTTTTTCTCTCTCCCTCACTCTCTCTCTCTCTCTCTCTCTCTCTCTCTCTCCCTCTCTCTCTCTCTCTGGAAAATCACGGGTTGGAAGCCATTTAGGTTCTCACAGACATCAACGTTCACGTGTACATCAAATGCACTTACCTGTATTTTATATCTCTCTCTGGTGCCAATTCTCATTGCAAAGGTAGACCCAGGTAACAACGGCCAACAAAGACATTCTCCATAATACCTGGCAATGTCACACTCAAGACACATCGGACAAAACAGACCACAAAAACCTGTCAATAACCACAAAGAAGAAAGGCAAGGTTGTGAGATGTTCAGGGAGCGACTCCACATCATAAGTAACATTTACAGTGCTACGCCATCAGTGTAATGCAGCATTGTCTCCCAGCAATTAGGGACTGAGAATGAATAACCAATTCACAAACTCATCACAAACTGCCATAACTGGATCACATCAAAATGGTACCCTTTTGTTAAACACTGGTAGAGCTGAACCTGATATAATTCTGTTAGCACTGACCAGGGTAATTGCTTTTTCCCATCAAGAGAAATGTGTTAAATAATTTTTGAATCATAATTGTTGCTTCTCTTATGTTAATCTAATTTCAGCATTTAAAATAGACACAGTATATAGAATACCCTTGAATAACATTTTTATAAATATAATTGAAAGTTTGTTGTTGGCACACTGATTCTACCTTCTATTCTTAACAGGATTTTATTTTCTCAGACCAGAAGGTTATTCTAATTTTTGTTAGTTTCACGGAGCCACTGACATGTGTCAGTTTTAATCAGCAGATGATTAGGGGCTTGGTCCCTTGAATATAAACTGGAAACAGTTTGTCATTTATTAGTTCATTCATCTTGAACTACTGAAATGGTTTCCTGTACATTCTGCATGAACCTTCTAACACAGAGGTTCTAAATATGTTCTGGTTCACAGACTCTTTTGAAAATATGACTACAGTTATGAACTTGCTTCATGAGGGAAAAGAAATGTACGTGCACACAGGCATGCAAAATTGTGCATTCCGTTTCATGGAGTTCAAGGATCTGTTGAAAACTATTAATGGACCACGGGTTAAGATGTCCTAAATGCAGATAATTAGACTATGAGACAGCAAAAATACCAAGCTAACCATCATCTTTAAAGAATGTTTTCAATAAATATTTTATTAAGGCAAATTTGTACATAAGAAAATGCACACATAGTAAGCGTCCAGTTGGATGATTTCAACAATCATATTCGCCCAAGTAGCCGAACAGGTAGAACACTGGCCTCACCCAGGATTCCTTGAGCCACCTTCTGGTCAATCCTACCCACCCCACCAACTCCCAAAGGAGCCACAGTTCTAATTTGTACTCCAACAGGTGAATTTTGCCTCTTCTTGGACTTCACATAAATGGAATCATATTTACATTTATATCTAGTTTTTTTTGTTTGGCATGCTATAGTTTCACATGTTGTTATATGAATCTGTAGTTTTTCTTGTTGTTAAGTAGTATCCCATGACTGGTCCACAAAATATTTACCCATTCTCTACTAAGAGATGGTTGCTTATTCCTTGTGTTGCTATTATGACCAAGACTGCTATGAATACTCATCTCTATTTGGATATATGCTTTCACTTTGCTCTCACTCCTGAAAGTGGAACTGCTGGGTCATAGGGCAGATATATATTTAACTTTACAAAAAATGACAAATAGTTCTCCATAATGCTCCCTCCAGCAATGTGTGAGAGTTCTAGTTGGGCCATATCCTTGCTAACATTTGCAAGTGTCAGTGTTTTGCATTTTAGCCATTCTAGGGAGTGTGAAGTGGTAGTTATTACAGCTTCTCAAAGGCTCACACAGCAGGACACCAGCACCCTAGAAGAACTTCCTGTGGATGGCCTGTCTCTGCCTTCCTTGCCTCTCCAACAGTGAGCACTGCAAAGTTCCTCGCCCATATTCAGGGACAGAGAGGCACAAAACTAGGAAGGCTCTCATTTTAGACCCTTCAGGGGACACTCCAGGACTCTGGATGTCTTTAACTTTACATAATGGGTGCAGTATTGCACCTCACAAAAGCCTTGAAAGCTGCCGGGAGGAGGGAGCGGCCTGTCTTTCTCCAAGGAGGGGCACATCTATGTAATCCATTCAGCAATCGCAGGTAATCACTACATCACCTACCACAGACATCATTTGGTCTAAAGCAAACAGTTCATCCTTAAGTAAGTTTGGGATGTTCACTCCATATTATTTAAAAATTCCAGGGTAATCAGGAGGCCATACTGAGCACTGAAAACTGGTATGAATAGCTTTTTGGTCAACAAATGACCCCGTAAATTCAAGAGTGTATGCACCCTGTGTGCATCCTCAAGTAGGGGAATTTGAAATCAATGCCACATAAAAATTGATCAAATCACACTTTATATGTAGATCATGAAATAGTATAAATCCTTGCAAATTAAATAATTAATCAAAAATTGCATAATTGTAAATCTGGCAAACTAAACGGCTAATAACTGTATTTACACAATATCATCTGCACCACTCTGACTGATAAAGAGGAATGCCCACCATCCCTAAGTAGTATATTATAAAGAAGGTGTTTATGTGCAATGGAATTTCTGTACCACATTTTTATGACTCATATGCTATTACTTTTCATCTTTTTATCATATAACCATGTTATCTATTTGTTCACTAGGAGATACCACTAGATATTGAAGAAAACACAATCAAAATTCAATAACTTTGAAATAGAACACGGCTACAATTTTTTAAAAAATGTCTTTGAAGTACAAACTTTGATTACATAATAGCTAATATTTCTACAAACTTCACTATGTTCTTCTAAAAACACTGTACATATTAACTCATATAATCTTTCCAATGATCCTATAAAGTAGGTGCTCTGATTATTCTCACTTTACAAATGACGAAACTTATCTTCAGAAAATTTAAATAATTTGCCCAAGTTCATACAGTTATTAATGAGGGCAGAGTCCAGATTTATATTCAAGGAGTCTGGCCTAAAGTCTAGTACCTATATGTTGTCATACTTATGTATTTATCTATTCTGCCAAAATGATTATGGATTTGTATGCTCCAAGACAATATCCCTACTATCACTATATTTATTCCTATGGGGTAGTCTTAAATCATCGAGTTCTTTAAGATCCTCTCTACCCAGTGTTACTGTTCTGTACTTTGAGGAGTGATGACATGCAAAGTGCTATCAGGTTACACCCCAAGAAAGGATGTGCCAGAGTGGGGTGATGGGACCCTACTAGAGAGCAAAAAATTTTGCAACACACCTCTCATGACAAGAATAAGTATCCAGAATACTTGTCCAGGGGCTAGGGATTTATCTTACTGGCAAAAATGCCTGCCTGGCAAGCGCAAGGTTGTGAGTTCAATTCCTGGTACCAGAAGAAAAACAAAACAAAACAAAAAAGCAGAATATTTGTCCAAAAGAACTCCTACAAATCAATATATAAAGATAAAAAAAAACAGAAAATGGGCCCAGGGGGCTGGGGACTTAGCTCAGCGGCAAAAGCGCCTGCCTGGCAAGCGCAAGGTCATGAGTTCGGTTCCCGGTACCGGAGAAAAACCAAAAAAAAAA